CTTGATGGAACTTCTACTGAATTGGAGGTTCATCAGTATGAGTTGCAACTTGTTCATAGCTGGTTTCCGTCAAGCGTGATAGGTGCACTCTAAAGTTCCGAAACGCTTTCAGGCCTTTGATAACGACGGGTTAGTCGAAATGTGAGGCGAATAGATGTTCCACCACTGAAGAACCTTTTCGGCACAGAAGCATCGACTAATAATAGTACAAATACATAGGTTTCTCCAAAGGCGGACATGGAGGTAGCTGTTACCATCCAGATTAACTTCAAAATTAAGAGCATTGAGTAATCTGGGTGACAGCTTTTTTGGCAGACAAGATAAACGATTTCAGATTTAGATTGAGCTTCCTCTACGGTATCTGATGTCCAATCTGCTAGTGTTTCACCTTACGATATTTGGATTGACATACCTTTGAATGCGTGCCGACAAAAAACAGTGAGCACGCTACATATGGCTCTCTCTAAGTATTCGGTAGAATACTCTCCCACATATTGTTTTTTCTCTCCACAAAACGTAGTAAAATCTCCTTTCAAAACTTAGCTCACCTTCGATATCTATTTTGAGTATTTCTACGGTAGATATCCCCTCAAGTTTCATAAGGTCCTCCAATGAGTATCGTTTTCTGAATTCGTCGGTTTCTGCACTGATTTCGGCCACTCTCACATTGACTTTGATTTTCTTCAGCACAGCTAGTGTGTGAGATTTTTGCTTATTCTGTAAGTAGAAGAGTTCTTGAAATACTTGTTCCTGTTTGCGCCATAAAATTGAGCTATTAAAGACGCAGTTCTCGATAAAAATGGTTCCTACGATTTCCTACTAGGGTTACCCACGGCCCCAAGGGTACCACAAAGGACGCTGTCGGGACGAAAAACTCAATAGCTAATATGAGCCCCATTACCGAATTCGTTGCGTCCATGCCTAAACCGATGATATGTCAGATGAGTGTCGAGGCGATACAGGTTGCGCTATTCGCTTCAGGATCCACACTTTCACCACGCAATCGGCTAATCGTCGGGCGACGAAGAGATGCTTTACTGTTATCCTGTTATTCTCTGGTTATCTTTTTGCTGCTGCGGCCATTTTTCTAGTTTTTTACCTCACAAGGATAAGAAAAGGTGGTTTATTTTTGCTGTTGGCTTAACTTAACTGTGTTGTTTCCGTTAACTTAAACAAACACCTCTTCTATGCCATTTTTGGTCGTGTTCCAGCCCCAATTTAACGACTTTTTTGGGGCCTTTCATCCCTTTGGAGACACCGATTCTCGTGCTTTCATCGCCCCACCCCACACTGTTCTCCATCATCTCTTTCATTTCTCGTCATAATCTGGATAATCCAAAATTATCGTGAACTGTGTCTCTAAGATGTTCAGGAGCTGAAAAAAAACAATAAAAAAGAGGAAAGATTCCGTAATGTCTGATGGAGTACCATGTCATATGCGAAGATTTTACAGCGCTGATCAGTTATGTGTTGTAGTTCTTGTTCAAACGTTATCTCATTATACATCCCAAGCGATAATATGTTGCACATTGCAGGGATTCTAAAAATAATACATCGAAGAATCAATCATTAGAAGACATTTCTCGAAGTGAAAAGAGAAAAGAACCGTTGGAAAATGAGGACTGCAGGTAGTGACGGATATCCTTTCAGATCATGTCCAACTTTAACGAGTTACTACAGCCTTAGGTAAGGGAGCTTGTTCATGCAAGAGGATTTTTCCATCTTCAGAAGCTTTTTTACGATCAATCAGATAGTATATATCGTAAACTGCGCAACTTATAAAGTTCATAATATAGCTTGTAGCAGGAATTGCCCTAACTTCAAACCCATAAAAATATATATGAGCGAGGTTGGACAGGTCCACTCAAGCTTGGTGAATCATCCATTCCAGGTTGCATTGGTTGAAAACAGATCTGTCTGGGAGTTCAAGAAGATTGGCTTGTATACAATGATTGAGTGGATTCTACATATGTATTAGGGTGTCCGAAAAGTTTTGAGAAAATCCAGTGAGGGCACTGATGCCATTTTTCCAAAATGAAGAGAGACGCGATGTAATTCATTAATCTACCATCTACTAGACTTCTCCACAGTTGGTGAATTTTTCCCCTTTAGAGCAGGCCCACCCGCTGGCCTACCACCTCAACGCGGTGGGTGTGTGAACGTGGGGCGTGTGGGCGTGTCCGCTTTACCACTCTTGTTTAAAAAAAA